GGGCGCTCCCCTCCCCCCCCTCCCCTCCCCCCCCCCTATACGCGGGTGGTGGAGTGGGGGTGGGGCAGGGCGCTGTTGTGGGGGGCCGGCGGGGGGAAGGGCGGCACGGCGGCGCCGCCGAACGGGAGGAGCCCCCCCGGCACCGGCACCGGCACCGGCACGGCGCCGGCGTCGTCGGGCGCGCGCCGCAGCGCCAGCGCGTAGTCCGGCGGCCCGGCCACGGCCGCCACGGCGCCGGCCGGCCGCTCGGCCTCCGCCAGCTTCAACCGCACCGGCACCGGCGCCTCGCCGGGCGGCGGCACCGGCACCGCGGCCGGGCCGGGCCGCTTGTCCCGCTTGTAGTAGAGCGCGGCGAAGGCGAGGATGTTGAGGAAGAGCAGCGAGGCGCCCACGGCCACGGTGACGCTCAGCTCCGTGGAGTAGTCCCGCGAGTCGCCGGGGAACGGCGCGAAGCGGCGGCGCCCGCCGGGGTCGTCGGCGGCGTCGTCGGCGGCGTCGTCGTCGCGGCGCGGCGGAGGCGGCGTCGTCGGCGCGCGGCGCGTGGGCGCGGCGCGGCGCGGCGGCGGCGGCGGCGGGCGCGTGGTGCTGGCGGCGTGGGGCGGCTGGTGGAGGTTGTGGAGGTGCGGCACCAGCTCCAGCCAGAAGGCGACCTTGTTGGCGCGGTAGTGGTCGCGCAGGCGCGGCTTCAGGCCGATGTGCAGGTAGCGCTTGGCCTTGCCGTCGAAGCGCGTCCACACCACCTCCTCGAAGCGGTTGGGCTTGGTGTGGATGAACTTGGTGTCCTGAGGGACCGGCTGGTTCGGGTCGCTGCGGGGAGGGGGCGGTGACCGGTGACCGACTGACCCATTGACCAGCTGACCCATTGACCCAACTGACCCAACTGACCCAACTGACCCATTGACCCATTGACCAGTGACCCAACTGACCCATTGACCAGTGACCCAACTGACCCAGTGACCAGTGACCCAACTGACCCATTGACCCACTGACCAGTGATCCATTGACCAGTGACCCAACTGACCAGTGAACAACTGACCCATTGACCAGCTGACCCATTGACCCAACTGACCCAACTGACCAGTGATCCACTGACCAGTGATCCAACTGACCCATTGACCAGCTGACCAACTGACCCATTGACCCAACTGACCAGTGACCCATTGACCAGTGATCCAACTGACCCATTGACCAACTGACCAGTGACCCATTGACCAGCGACCCAACTGACCCATTGACCAACTGACCATTGACCAGCTGACCCATTAACCAGCTGACCAACTGACCCATTGACCAACTGACCCAGTGACCAGTGACCCAACTGACCCATTGACCAGCTGACCCATTAACCAGTGACCCAACTGACCCATTGACCCATTGACCAGTGACCCAACTGACCCATTGACCAATGACCAACTGAACCATTGACCAGTGACCCAACTGACCAGTGACCCAACTGACCATTGACCAGCTGACCAACTGACCCATTGACCAACTGACCAGTGACCCATTGACCAGTGACTCAACTGACCAGTGACCCAACTGACCCATTGACCAGTGACTCAACTGACCAGTGACCAACTGACCCATTGACCAGTGACTCAACTGACCAGTGACCAACTGACCATTGACCAGCTGACCCATTGACCAGCTGACCAACTGACCCATTGACCGACTGACCCATTGACCAGTGACCCAACTGACCCATTGACCCACTGACCAGTGATCCATTGACCAGTGACCCAACTGACCCATTGACCCAGTGACCAGTGACCCAACTGACCCATTGACCAACTGACCAGTGACCCATTGACCAGCAACCCAACTGACCCATTGACCAACTGACCCATTGACCCAACTGACCCAACTGACCCAACTGACCAGTGACCCATTGACCAGTGATCCAACTGACCCATTGACCAGCTGACCAACTGACCCATTGACCCAACTGACCAGTGATCCATTGACCCAACTGACCCATTGACCAACTGACCAGTGACCCAACTGACCCATTGACCAGCTGACCAGCGACCCAACTGACCCATTGACCAACTGACCATTGACCAGCTGACCCATTGACCAGCTGACCCAGTGACCAGTGACCCAACTGACCCATTGACCCAACTGACCCATTGACCAACTGACCAGTGACCCATTGACCAGCTGACCATTGACCCAACTGACCAGTGACCCAACTGACCCATTGACCAACTGACCCATTGACCAACTGACCAGTGACCCATTGACCCAACTGACCAGTGACCCAACTGACCCATTGACCCAACTGACCCATTGACCAACTGACCAGTGACCCATTGACCAGCTAACCCAACTGACCAGTGACCCAACTCACCATTGACCAACTGAGCCATTGACCAACTGACCCATTCACCAGTGACCCAACTGACCATTGACCCAACCTTTGACCCAATTGACCCAACCGTTGACCCAACTGTTGACCCAAGCCTTGACCAAATTGAACCATTGACCCAACCACTGACCCAACTGTTGACCCAACTGACCCAGCTTTTAACCCAACTGACCCAACCATTGACCCAACCACTGACCCAACCATTGACCCAACCATTGACCCAATTGACCCAACTGACCCAACCATTGACCAAATTGAACCAACCATTGACCCAACTGTTGACCCAACTGACCCAACCATTGACCCAACTGACCCAACTGTTGACCTATTGACCCAATCGTTGACCCAACTGACCCGAACCTTGACCCAACTCTTGACCAAATTGAACCAACCCTTGACCCAAGTGACCCAACCATTGACCCAACCATTGACCCAACCCTTGACCCAACCCTTGACCCAACCATTGACCCATTGACCCAACCGTTGACCCAATTGACCCAACCATTGACCCATTGACCCAACCATTGAGCCAACTGACCCAACCGTTGACCCATTGACCCAACCATTGACCCAACCATTGACCCAATTGACCCAACCGTTGACCCATTGACCCAACCGTTGACCCATTGACCCATTGACCCAACCGTTGACCCATTGACCCAACCATTCACCCAACCACTGGCCCACCCCCTGCCCCGCCCCCCACCCACCCCGTCTTGGCGAAGTTGGTCCAGTAGGTCATGACGACGGCGCTGAGCATGACGTCGTTCTTGGAGAAGTTGCACGGGAAGAGGTCGGTGGCGCCCACCATGGGCACGCCGAAGACGTAGGGGATCTCATCGCCGTGCGCCGCGTCCGCCCACTCGGGCCGCGCGTCCGTCTGGCAGTGGTGGTAGAAGGTGTAGAAGTACACCGGCGACTGGTACTCGGCGTGCAGCTTGGCCGTGGCCACCGCCGGCGCCACCCACTGGTGGTCGGTGAAGAGCGCCAGCAGCGTCTTGCGCCGCATCTCGCCGTTGTCGCGGTCGGCCCAGTCCGTGTACATGAACTTGATGGTCTCGCGCAGGATGTCCTTGCCCTCGGGGTAACCGTAGAGGTTGTCCACGAAGTTGGAGACGGTGAAGTCGAAGTAGGAGGCCGAGATGCCGTCCTCGCTCTCCAGCGAGTCCTCCACGAACTTCAGCCCCTCGCCCTGGTTGACGCCGATGAGGATGTCGTAGTTGAGGAACTCGCCCTGCTGCATCAGGATCTCGGGGTCGTCCGGCACCACGTCGCCGTCCACCACCGGCCCGAAGGCCACGTGGTAGCGGGCGGGCTGCACGTCCTGGTCCACCAGGGCGCGGAAGGGCTGGCGCCGCAGGCACTCGACGGCAGCGCCGGTGTCGGCGCGCTCGCAGCCCACCTTGGCCGCCAGCAGCCGCGTGTACTTGAGCGGTTGGTAGTTGACCGACCAGCTGGCGATGGCCGTGCCGCTCTGCGCGATGGCCTTCTGGAACAGGCCTGGGGGGCGGCGCGGGGTCAGGCCGGGGCGGGCTGGGGGGTCTCAGTGGGGTTTGGGGTCATGGGGGACGTGGGGATGGGGTCCCACCAGGGATTGGGGTCAGAGTTGGGGGTTTGGGAGGGTCTCAGCAGGGTTTGGGGTCATGGGGGACGTGGGGATGGGGTCCCACCAGGGATTGGGGTCAGAGTTGGGGGTTTGGGAGGGTCTCAGCGGGGTTTGGGGTCATGGGGGACGTGGGGATTGGGTCCCACCAGGGTTTGGGGTCATGGGGGACATGGGGATGGGGTCCCACCAGGGTTTGGGGTGATTGGGGGATGTGGGGATGGGGTCCCACCAGGGTTTGGGGTGATTGGGGAACGTGGGGATGGTGTCCCACCAGGGTTTGGGGTCATGGGGGACGTGGGGATGGGGTCCCACCAGGGATTGGGGTCAGAGTTGGGGGTTTGGGAGGGTCTCAGCGGGGTTTGGGGCCATGTGGGACGTGGGGATGGGGTCCCACCAGGGATTGGGGTGATTGGGGGACATGGGGATTGGGGTTTGGGGT